GGGAGTGACCACTGGGAGTGACCACACCCTCACCTGTGCCCGGCCTCACCTGGGGGGTGATGCCACACCAGAAGTTGGAGTAGGCGGCGCGCGAGTCGAGCATCGGGGCCACCACGGTTCTGTTCTCGGCCACCAGCACGGCCAGCGTGTCCGGGTTCACCAGGACATTGTCAGCGTCCAGGAACTGGGGACAGGGACACACCTGGCACACCTGGGGACTCTGGGACACACCTGGGGACACACCTGGGACACACCTGGGACACACCTGTCATACCTAGGACACACCTGGAACACACCTTAGGACACCTGGGCACATCCAGGACACACCTGTCAAACCTGGGCACAGCTGGGACACACCTGAGGACACCTGGGAACACTTGGGACACACCTGGGCAGAGCTGGGACACACCTGGGGACACCTGGGACACACCTGCCACAATTGGGCACACCTGAGCACACCTTTGACACACCTGGGGACACCTGGGACACACCTGAGACACCCCCAGCATGTCCAGGTTCACCAGGACATTGTCAGCATCAAGGAACTGGGGACAGGGACACACCTGTCACACCTGGGGACACCTGGGACACACCTGGGGACACACCTGTCACACACCTGGGGACACCTAGGACACACCTGGGACACACCTGGGGACACCTAGGACACACCTGGGGACACCTGGGACACACCTGGGGACACCTAGGGCCACCTGGGACACACCTGGGCACACTTGGGACACACCTGTCACACCTGGGGACTCTGGGACATACCTGAGCACATCTGGGACACACCTGGGACACACCTTAGTGACACCTTTGGGGACCCCTCCCCAAACTCAGATCCGCCCCATTCCAGCCCCCCCCACCTGGCACCTGCAGCTGCATTTCTCCCCTTTGTCACGACTCTCCCCCCACCCCACCCCGGGGCTCAGGGACCTTTGGGGACCCTCGGGGACCCCTCCCCGAATTCGGGGACCCCTGCCCGGGTTTGGGGACCCCCCCGTACCAGCAGGTAATCGGCCCACATGGCCCGGGCGGCCTCCAGGGCCTCCTGGCGCAGCCTCATCACGTGCTCGTAGCGGGCGGGGCTCCAGTGCTTGGGCCCCTCCTCGTCGGGGAAAGACCTGGGGGGCACCGGGGGGGGACACCTGGGACACCCCAAATTCCCGGGGAGACCCCCCCCAAAATCGTAGGGACCCGCCCAAAATGTTGGGACACAGAGGTCATCGAAACCTGGAGAATCCCAAAAAATTGGGTACCCACAAGGGATGAGTTCTCCCCAAATTTGGGATTCTCCTCATCAGGGAAGGAGCTGGGGGGGTACCTGGGACACCCCAAATTCCCGGGGAGACCCCCCCCAAAATCGTAGGGACCCCCCCAAAATGCTGGCACCCATCATGGATCCTCACAATTTGGGGAATCCCAAAAGTTTTGGGTACCCACAAGGGATGAGTCCCCCCCAGATTTGGGAAAGAGCTCAAGGGGGGCAGCTGAGACCCTCAGGACACCCCTAAATTCTGGGGAGACCCCAAAACTCCCCCAGGACCCC